TCCCGCCCTCGCATTCCCAGGCAAAACGCTTTAATCGCGATGTATTTTGTACGAACTTATCGATATGAGCGCTCCATTTTAAACGAACAAATTTCTCGGAAATATTCAGTAACTCTGCGGTAGAAACTCGCCTGCTTGCGGATAACAGGTTATCGGAAAAAACCACTGCGGTGAGGTGGTCTCTTTTGCGTAATAATTGTCCGACGTGCTGCGAGTTATCGAAAATAGTTCGCCGAACAACTACGTACCATCGAGCACAGTTAGGAGGCGACGTCATACGCGGATTTATCGTCCGGCAACGCCGATCGCTTTCTATCGCCAGGATATAGTTCCCCGCATTCACGCCGTTGAATCGAGTCCAATTCAGAACAAAATATTTGTAAAGCCATGTATACTGCAGTTCTCAGCAATTTCGATTCGACAAGTACAGCGTGGTTACGAACGAATGACTTTCGCGCTGCTTGTGACCCTTAAGTAGTCGATGACGATCGGAGTCCGTGTTTCTTGTAATATAAATTGTAATTATATAATTTAAAAAAAAATTATGAATAAAAAATAACGTTTATAAAGTCATTTATTATGTACTTCGATAACATAATTTTAATTAGTTCCTTTTCTCATAAGTTCGATTTTTTGCTTGCAGAAATGTTGTGTTACGCTACGACTAAATGGATATTACGAGGCATTGACTCGAGAATCCCGACTACTTAAGGGTTAAGATACAATTCGATTGCCCTAAGGTCTTCTCTACACACACACAGATTCTCCTATGACATTTACGAATTACCAGTTAGTATTAAATTGTAAAACGTACCTACGTGTCCGATACCAATTAGTCGCGCCTACTTTGAGATTTCGCTATGCTAGAAGGGAGGGAGAAGATATTTTTCGATCTAATACCGAAAAATGTGAATTCGACGAAAAAATTTCAAGTTGATTTTAGCTAACAAAAAACTCGCCGTTTCTTCTTTTTTTCTGTTAATATCGGTGCAAAATTGAAATCGGTAACAGCGCGTGTTTAGGGACACTTCCGTTTCGTTTGATTTCGAAATGAGGTAGAATAAAGAACAAATCCGAGTCGAGAGTCATTTAAATGGAAATTATCAGGAGAAGCTTTCGAATCGAATGCAAATCGCCATGCAGATCGTATCGTTCAAAACGTTCGTTTGGCCCTTGAGAACGTTCACGAGTTTACTAGGCACGTCATCTATATTAATTTGTTTCGTGCAACTGATTGAAGGATGCGGCTAATAATAACATCAATTTCATAATGATAATAGTAATTATATTAATTAATCAATAAATTGAAAATAAACAGAACTTTGGTAAAATCGAATATAACTTCGTTTAAAAAAATACCTTACAAAATCATAAATCGCTGAACTACAAATTTACATTCAATCTATAAATGATAACTTAGCTTATACGTTGAGCAATCGTAAATCATCGTGCATTCAAGCGCATATTGATTACTCTTCGATATCCCTAATATGAATATACAATTAATAAGAATCACACAATTTATTGGAAAATCGAGTGTCCCTAGATGTATCAGATTTGTTCAAAATCTCGAAAGTGCGTGTTTGTATACGTGTGTTGTATGTATGTGTGTACGCAACAATGAGAGATGTGTCAAGTCGCAAGTTATATCGCTTTATACACATTAAATAAAAAATAAATAACCGCCCATATACGACAACGGGCGTTGACAAGCGCGCGGGAATAACGTTACACGTAATAAACTGTACAGAATGTTACAAAGAGTCGTCGGGTATATATAATATAATATATATAGTGTATCTATTTATATATTTATATATAAACGTTGGTTAAGTAACACACCCCTTCGTAAAACGCTTCAACGAAAGAGATTACGAAATAAGATTCTAATAGCGAGACATTAATGTTAGATTCTCGCACGAAATTACCATCGCGTGCAAATCAACCAATGCTTATACAATCTCTATAAAAAATGCACCTTTGTCACTACAGTCTAGTTAACAAAATATACAGACTTCGGCGAGAACCGTGCGAGCACGACGTAGTGAAGCGCACATATTTATTGCGTGACCACCGAAGTCATCAAGAACAGTGCTTTCCAAACGTTTTTCGAGCAATTTTTTACGACTAACTTTTATTATAGTAGAAAATATATTTCTTGTGCAAAATAAAAAAGAACTTTCAAAATTTTAATTTTTTCAAATTAATTTTTGGTAACTCAATATGAAAAAAATTACTGAAATTTGGATTAAAATGTCATCATAAAAATATTGATTTCACTCGATTTGTTTAGCTTTCATCGCTTGATTCAACCTTACTTTCCCTTCCAAAGAAAAATGCAAAATACAATAAAAAATTATAATATTTTTTCATATTCTAAATGAATTTATAAGTAAGTTTTTAACATCGTGTAACTTGGGGAAAAACACTCTATGTTTTTTAAATTTCAATAATTTAATCATAATTTCTGTATACTCCAGTTATACAGGGTCCGTCAAAAGTCCCGGGCCGGCTGAATATTTCAGAAGATATGCATTTTTGAGAAAAATGTTTCAGATAAAAGTTGTAGGGTCACCCAAAATCAAGCGGATGCGAATAGACCTTTTTAAACCCTATAACTTTTGTCCGAAACATTTTTCTCAAAAATGCATATTTTCTGAAATATTCAGCCGACCCGGGACTTTTGGCGGACCCTGTATAATTATTTTATTATTAGCAAACAAATTTGATTCTGAAGCGTTAAATTAAATTGGAAAATACTGCACTGGAAAAACTTCGGAGAGAGCATATGTCGTATCCTGAAAAATAAATTCACGAAACGTTCTTTCGCAAAAATCGCGACGTCTCGCCCGATTCTCGAACAGCAAATAAACAGCCAACAATTAAACTCTTGCGATTAGCTCGAAAGAAGTTTTAAATTAATATTCCGCTCTGTCGACAATAATCGGGAAAATTTATTAGGATATTTCTCGTTCGAAATCATCAGTCGAAGAAGTCGTACATAAAAAAAGTCAAACAGTATTTCCATTGCTTTCATTATTAAATGTTATCTACTCCACCTATCAAAATGGAATAGATACATTTCAATGCGACTTAAAATTAAAGTAGCTTCGTGTGGGAGCGCCAAGGCAGTGTCTCGAAATCGATGAGGATAGAATGACTCACAGGCAACAATGAACGGCAGCTTTATCAGGCAGTGTGATCGCAAGACGAACTAATCAATTTAAAGTATGAATGAATAGTGCAGTCTCTCACTAGTCACTTTCGTATTCAATGATAGGAAGTACATTTGCATGAAACAAATTCGTACGATTTCGATTATTATCTTTCATATAATGTTAAGAATATTACATAAATATTTACAACAGTCTACAATAAAGTTTAGCTCTTAATTACAAGTTATTAAAAATAAAATGTTACTTGATCTTATTACTATATAATTTTTCATAATATCTTATTTATTAATTATAATCGCAGTCCATAATTCAATACGTTTAATTCATTCATTCTTTACATTTCATCAAGATTTTAAAAATAATTTTGCACAAAACAGAATTATTTATAGGTCCCTTCTTATACATATAATTTCTTTAAAGTTTTGATTATTACTGTGAATCGATATATCGAGGCATTGAATGTGTAGTATATAAAGAACAAGGAAGTTCTCGTGTTATTCATTTTCATCTTGCATTATTGATTTCTAATGTGCTGCAGTTAAAGTACGACAGAGCCGATGTATTCGTATCCGAGAAATATCCTGCTACGGTCATTCTACGGGAGCACGCGGGACATTATAGACTTTTCTGCACCAGAGCGTGTTTCGAATATGGTAAATGCAAATGTCCCGAATATAAATAATAATATAAATTTCAAGTGAAAACTGTCTCGACAATTTATAGATATTTCGAGCGTGGAACTTCCGCTTTTACCGTGTTTCGAAGAGTACTGCTCGCAAAAAATTCTCTATTATATAACAATGGTACGCGCGAACGGAAGTCGCGAAAGAGAAAAGCCGATCGCGAAACGAGAACACGATAGATCCGATCTCTCGTGCTCGATTTTACCACGGGCGAAAATTAATATGCCGCACATCCACATCCGGCTTCCGGCCAGCCAGTGTCATTAACTCTCTTCTTTCTGAACGATTTTTAAATGCCAAGATGAATATTTGATTATCGTCATTTTGAGTTTCAAAATCGTATATATTTTCAAAAGTTATCAAGGATAGAACTAAAAAATTGAGAACTCGACGAAAAAAAAGCTTTAAACGACATAAAGAAAAGTGTCTATAATTGAAATTTGAAAAACATGTTCTAAATAAGTGCAGCACAATAATACTTCATATATCTAATACATTTTGGTATATAGAAGTTATTCTGAAAATAAGAATTTCATAGAATTATTTGCCTTGAGGTAAACGTGAAACGGAGCTTTTTCAAGGTTGATCCTTCAAAAGAGCTATTTCTTTGTAAGACAAAAAGTTAATTAAATTTAATTTAATTAAAAAATAGCGAAATATATGTATATACTTTTAATTATTTTATTAGATTTATACTTTTATCCTCCTTATTTTTGGTATTTCTTAATACAGCCATAACTGTACTAAGAAAGAGAGAGTTAACATTTCTTGTACTGATAAAATCGAACACCGTATGTGGATGAGATATTTTCGATGACATGCCTCCATAAAATTACTATAATTTTATTTCAACACCTATAAGTCGAGATAACGTGGATTCGGTAATTTCTTCTACGTTTTCTATGATATATATATGTATATAGGTTTCATCTACACCGAATCGAATGGTGATTGCAATTGTCCTTTTCTTCTCGCAGAAATTCGACATTCTCGACTAAAGGCTGGCGAATTCTTCGCGATACGCGCGTGTATATGTTGCTTTAAGTCTTTATGAGCTGTTTATTTAAAAAATTCAATTTTTAAATATGAATGAAATGCAAATATATAAATTTTTAAGCTAAATTAAATTTCTGGTAAAAATTTTTCGAGCATTTATAGCACTCCTAAATTAAATATATCGAGTTAGCTTCGATTATCTCACTTTAAACATTTCACTATTCAGTATCGGAGTAAGTAACGAAGGCCGAATGGCTGAAACTTTTATTAACTATCCAGTATGAAACACGATATGGTACACGACGAAGATTGCGCCAGCCGCTAGTCATATCGGAAAGGTCGCTCCACTTCGAAAAAAAGAGCCCACTGATCGAATCACCCGAGAATCGAATGCGCTCCCGGGTGCGTTCGGTCGGAGAACAATAACATTTATCTAAGCCTAAGTATCGCGTCGCTGAGATTGGCATATACTTACGCGAACATACGCACGCGCCAGTTGCTACTGCTGCTGTTGCTCGGTCCGCCATTCGATCGCGATGGATGATCACCAAGGCGATCCTGGATCCGAGTGAACTCGAACGACCGCTCGTCCGGCGGCGACGTTCACCTGAACGCAGCGCCGGCAACGACAGTGACGGCGGCCAGGATCACAGCCGCCGATACTGTACGGCCGCAGGAACTACCAGCTGTGGGACCCGCGTCGCTGCTGCGGGACACCTTGCTACGCACCAATTGACCTCGCTCGACTGCGTTCGACTCGTCGCTGTCAGGATCAACGGGCGCACCAATATCGCCGTCCTCGCTCAGCAACATCGACAGTTTGTTCCGCAGTGGCTTCTTCGCGCAGGGCACGCTCGCTTCCTCGTAGGGCCTGAGGATGCGTGGGTAGTGCACCTCGAGGTTTTCTGTGCCGGGCAGGGCGCCTTTACTGCTGCCACATAACGGCTTAAACGTGCCGCTTCGAGTGGCTTCCTGGAAGCTTTGAAAATTCGTCTCCCAGTCGTAGCTGACTAGTCGTTCCTCGAGCGTCATGCCTTTTAAGTTTGGCGGCTCCTGGATCATCACCGGACTGGAAGCCCTACGTCAAAAATAAAATCTCGTAAAGTCGCGTGTCTCTCTCACAGATTTTCATAATTGGACTGTTTACTTCGATTATTTTCTATGTGATATAAAGAGATAAAAGTAGTTTTGAGGAGTCGTCTTTGTTTGGTCTACCTATGCACATGATGCGTACCGTCTATAAGTATTATAGCACGTGATCTGATTGTATTACATGATAATATAGAGGGTGTCCCAATAACTATTACCACCTGAAATATCTTCTAATCTATAAGGTGTAGAGAAAAATTTATATAACCAAAATTACACGATGTAAAGGGGGCTATCATATGGTGGTAATAATTTTTGTCTAGGTGGAGGCGCTTCGGAGATTTCAAGATCAATTTCGTTTTTTTAAATGGAATTATATGAATTTTTTTACATAATATGATCCTCTAATTATTTTGCATATAAAAGTATTAAGGTAAAAGTATCGAAAAATCAATAGTTTATGAGATATTTTATACTTTATATATATTGCCATAAAATGTTAAATAACTTGTAAATTAATAATTTTTTAATAATCGTAGCTTAATACTTTTATGAACAAAATAATGAGATGAATCAATTGGAGTAAAGAAAATACATAGTTGCTTATTTAAAAATTATCCATTTTGCAACCATATTTTTATAAAGCAACTATGTTTTCTTTACACCAATTGATTCATCTCATTATTCTGTACAAATTTTTTATATAAATACTGCAGTTTATATATACATATACATATATATTATTACTAAATCTTTGATTATTAAACATCGAAACAAGGAACGATAAACTTTGAAAATTTAGAAATTATGAACGATGAATTATTTACGATGAACTATTTACGATGAGTTAAATATTGCGTATCTTAGCAATGGCCAGCACGTCTGATGCGAGGTAATGTCTGTCACTTCTTAAGTCAATAAAGGATGGCACTTTCGTAATGTACGAGCTCTGTCCCTAATAGCCAATTTAGAATGATCAAAGAGCAAAATGTCGAACGATCATCGTTTGCATGGAGCCATATAAACTACAGCAACGTGCAACATGCGTCTTATTGCACCATAAATTTTTCTTTCATCTGCGTAAACGATTTGCCAATTGAAATTATAACGACTATAAAGTAAAAGACAAATATGAGTCAGTTAAAATTACGTAATAGAAATCGTTATCATAAAACAATTTATGTCTGAGATAAATTTTAGACTCGTTACAATTAATTAATCAATTAATTCAAATACTATTAAAAATATCTTTTGAAAGATTTAAGAATACGTAAAATACGTCTAACATTTTTCATCTTCTCAATTATGAAGATACTTCATGTAATGTTATTATACTATTTTTGTTGACGTAAACGAGCTATAAATTTATGGAAATGTCACTTACTGTATTAATTTCTGGATTCCCAAGCTATGCAGCACCGTCGGTAGCGAAGGCAATGAATAACAAAGAGATAATTCAATACGAGGATAATAGAGAACGGACACCAGGCAAGTTTCTTCTCTCGTTCCCAGGCCGCCGAGCGTAATGGCCGTACGAGACTCGGACGAGTACGTGCACTCGGTGACTAAATGATCGCCCTATAACATAAAAGAATCGTCTAAATAATATTAGACTAAACAGAGAATCTTAGAATTTTAAAACCTTCGAATATATCATCAACTTAATAAAACAATTTAAAAAATGGCAATGACATGTATAAGTTTAAGTCGAAATTTTTGAATTGATATAGCAAAATCACAATGCATATATCGATACTTTATTGTAGTGAATTTTCAATGATCTTACTTTTCAATTCAATTCTGTCATAATTATTTTTACTTTATGTTAACACGTAATCGCGTTTAAGACCACCCTGTTCGAGCTCGTTCAAACAATTAAACTCAGGTTCATGCCCTGCATCTGTAGCATGTCGGCACTTTACGTGATCAAAGCTATACTTATTGCACGTTAATAAACTTTATAACAAGCTCATAAACTTTCTGATACGTGCTACGGGTTATAATATAGCTAGAAGTATGTTCGCGGCAAGTAAACGAAAGGCGTGCAACACAACGGAAACAGAACAAAAAAATAAGAATACATTAAAGGATCGCTGTAGAAGACGTAAGTTGCTAGCGAAGCGCTTAAGAATAATCTTGGATTATTTTCAAAGAAAAAAATCTTGGTGGATAGAGTTCGAGATTCTTTTCCCCGAGTCTCTTCGCGATCCTCTTCCGTTAATCGGGAATATTTTATAATTGCATTAGCTATCGCCGCAAGGAGAATGAAGTAAGTTTAATAAATTAGCTAATAAATTGGATTTTGATATAACGATTAAAGTGAAATCTGTAATTTAAGCCCGCAATATTCGATATCTTCTTCTCAAATATAATTATTATTCATTATTTTAATAGAAAAAGTATCGCCGTTCCATTGGGAAATGCTATCTTTCAGTAGTACTGTAAGCAATACATCGTACATCGCACGTCATATGCTAAGACTGTACTTACCGGGTACACCTTGACCGGTCTCTGAAGCCTCCGATACTCCTGATAATTGGGATCGTAGTTGGTGTCGGCGGCGATCGGCGGCAGCTCTTCGCTGGCGCGGATCTGCCGCAGGCGGACCTTTCTGCCGAGCTGGTGGGTGTGCATGATCACGGCGAACATGTTAATGCCGCTGTTCGGTATCGTCTGACCGGTGCAATCGGCGATGCAGTGGCCCTCAGAGACCACCTCGGGCTGACCGGGCGGTATTATGTGCCGCCAGTTCGGATCGATGCCAACACTGAGGATACCAGCGTCATGGAGGCGCAGTCGATCGGTGTAGAGAAGACGCAGGCCGCTGCTGTCGCTGATGAAGGCGTCCAGCTGCGGGTTCGTGTAGTGGGTCTCCAACATATAGTAGCGCGGCCCCGCGTACGGATTGAGCGCATATCCGGCCTCCGGCGGATAATTAAAGCCCTGGTGCGGCAAAAGAGAGAGGGAGACGGATTATGCAGAAGCTGCCAGTAAATAAAAACAGGACCGGCAGCGAATACGCTGGTCCGGTTCTGATCGCGGGCCCGTTCTCGTCCGATCTGTTCCCGCCCCTACCCCAGCGACGTTTCAAGTCTGGTATAATCGGTATACGCCTCGATCCATCAGAACGGGCCCCCGATGGAAATTGTCGCTCATGAAATTCGTTTCCTTATTGGACGTGCATGGTACTCACGAATTATGCCCGATTAATTTTAATTTTCAGGTACCGATGATGAGCGAGATAATAATCCGCCCAATTCAGGGAATCATCGTGCGATGTAATCGCTAACCTCAAGACCATTTTGAATCTAAATTTATTAATATAGCCCCAATAATTTCGATCGTTAGCACCGAACGTGTTTGCATTATTAATGAGATTGTTATTTTAATACTAAATATTCAAACACAAATGTGCGTATGTGTGTGAGATCGTTATTATTTTGCTATCGTTTATAGTCAATTAATTGTCCACAGTGGAAATTTTATTTATTATTTTTTGTCTAAGATTAAAATAATAATCATTTAATAATATTACTATATAAATGTAGATTGGCGAAATGTATTATCGTCACTATTTTTGAAATCTGTAATCTGAATAATCTGATAAATCTTTGAATATAATATAGTAATATTATTGATATACATATTGTTTTAAAAATCAAAATAAAAGTAAAAACGTTTAGTGCATGCTATTTATTGAATATTATATCTAATACTACGTATTATATCAATTGATGTTATCAGTATTATATCAATTGATGTTATTATCAGTATTATTTCATCATTTATTGGGAATCATATATGAGACGACACGTTTTACGATTGGTTGAAATTTCACAGGACGTTCGTATTACCAATAACCACGAAGAAACAAGTTTGCGGTATTCATGTTCTCACATTGGTATACATTACACCGCACTCGGAATTATCACGAAACTCCGAACGTGCTTTGTACGATCACGCGCAATATTTCACGAAAAGTCAAGTTTACATAGCGAAGGGTCAATGGATACTTCCGATGATCAAAGTATAGAGAAACAAATAAGATATAATGAATTTAATATATTCCGCTTGTATAAATTTTTGTCCATTTTTTAAAAGAAATGCCTTGTATACGGAAAGAACAGTTTTGCTGAAGTATTTAAAAATTTAACTAGCTATAAATCTGAAAATAATTTTGTTGAATCAAAATAATTATATACTTAAAACGATTAACTGTTGATGACAATCTGCAAAAAGTGTTAACATTTTAGCAACCAGTTTGAGCTACATAATTATTTTGATGGTCCAAACAAAATTATTTTCAGACCTGTATCTAGCTAAATTTTTAAATATTTTAGCAAAACCATTCTTTCCATATATTTCAATTAAATAATTTGCTAAATCATTTTATTCTCTGACACCGAATCGAAGACTTCGATAAAACAACTGAATAACTCCATTATTAGCAAAATAACTAAAGAATTTTAATTAATGATCGCTACAAAACGCGTAATGTTCAGTGAAAATAAATAAATTTTAAAATTTGTATTTCGTGTATCGAAATTTTGTGCAGCAGATAGTTTCTGTGACTACCGAAAACTTGCCGGAAGCACTTCAGTGTTCACGTCGAGGTCTTCGGCGTATAAACATAAACGAAGTTTTCGACATACCTCAGAACCGAGACTCCAAGTAGCTGCGATCGTGTTGCACTGGAATGTGGGTTTATCAGGAACATAACAGACACCCCCGGTCGTTTCGGCCGCGGATTCCAATTCGGCTTGATCTCCGCGGCACTCATACAGGGTCATATGGTGAAGGTATTCGTGGCTTCCCGGCTGAATAACTGGTTCGTACTGAAATATAGAACAGGCGTACAAGCTCGTAACGAGGATTAATGTCGAGCGCATTTCGGTCGTGTTCGTAACTCAAGAACAACGTATACCTTGACACTTTTATCGCAGTAGAATCGAACGTTGAATTGATTGAAGAAGCCGCGAGCTTCAAGTCGAGATTGTCTCGTTTATTCGTATAACTTAATCCCGTCAATGGAAAAAAAAATTTGCGAGATCACCCAGAGAAAGGTTTCTTTTATTCAAAGAAATGTTTCTTTGCTATACGGTTAAAGAAAAAATCTCTTTGATTTGAACATAATTTTTCAAAATCAAATAAACTTTTTTATTTGATTTAAAAAAATTATTTTCGAATCATAGAAATTTTTTCTTTAACCGTATAGCAAAGAAATATTTCTTTGAATCGAAGAAATCTTTCTCTGGGTGATTCTTTATTTCTTTCAAAGTTTTCGCGACGCATCATTTTACGGGCAATTAATCTGATTAATGACTAACGGCGTGTACTCGCCGTTTCGATTTAAAGCAAAGCGGATGTCAATGAATGGTATTGATTCATCGAATTGAATGGATAAGGAAATATCAGCAGTAACAGAAAAAGGAAGGCACTTCGTACTTTAATAAGCGTCGATTCTAACAGTTTGGGAAAAGCTGTTCAAGCACAAAATTGGCAAAGAGCAGTCTCCGACGCAAGTCGATACGGTATTTCTCGCGTCGGGAAAACGTGCTGTTTCGGCACGTTTATCCCTCAATAAGAGTAACAAATTAGGGTGCCCGCCGATACCACGATTAACGGCAGTTCACTCGACTGTTAACCTCAGAATACTTTGGTGCTCCGTCAATAAAAGTTCAATAAAACGCGAAGGGGGAGGCGGATGTCCGCGTTTTAAGCGCTTGAGTTATCGCAATCGAAACGCTAATCGTCTCTCCACCCTCTCTTCCCTTCCTCCCTCCTGTCGCTGTACCCGTGATAGGAACACAGAGCAATCGCATCACGTAGTTGGGTCACGTCCGATCGAGTTCGAGATTCAGGTGTCGGTCGGTCGACCGACGCTAGATAGGACGAACTATATCAGCCAGCCGAGCCAACACCCTATTCGGAAACACCGGTGCGGATATAAACATCAGCAAGAGCTGAAATACGATGAGGTAGAAACGAAAATACAGGACTGAGCAATAAGAATATAATAGCAAATAATATAGAAATATATCAACAATATTAAGGGAATTGTAATTAGTTTATTTATGACCAAAAGAATATGTACACTGAAAAAAAAGATTGGTTGCTGCAGAAGTTTAGTGCATGAAAGTGCACGAAGGGACATATAAGTACAGTTTAAAAGATGAACCATCAACCACCATGCTTAGAATCGTGTATTATGTGCACTTCGGCTATTTTGACGTTCGGCTATTTAACTTTCTAAAATCAATTGCGCTACTTTATAGATCTATGCCCGTATTCATAGTCAGACCTTATACTTAAGGCTTCCTTAAATTTATCTTTAGATGCTCAGTAGCCAATAAAATAATTCGTAGAGCATCTGAAGATAAATTTAAGGAAGCCTTAAATATAAGGCCTGACTATGAATACAGGCCCTAGTGACTTTAGATGTGCTGGAAAAACAGCGACATCTAGTGACTTTGTCGGAGTTTTCAAGACCGCAAGTAATCGTAGATAGTTTGCTTGAACTCACTGCAAATCCAAGTGTGTAAAATTGATTCCAGTATGTGTTATTTAGTTTTCCGTATAAAAATGATACTACATTACACGTTTAATCGATATTTAAATGCAGCATAGTGTGTTATTTTTACATGGAAAACTAATCACACACATACATTGAAAAGTCACTTTTCACACACTTAAATTTGCAAGAAATTGTAAAATTTTCACACAGTCTTTATTAGGCGTCAAGATACGTCTTCTACAAGTAAAATATAGAAGGAATTTTGTAAATTAGCTAACACGATGATGATCATCTATCATTTACTTATTCTAGTTTTCCGGTTTAAATATAAGACATTATATCGAGTTAAATAATAGATAATAAATAACTGGATAAAATTTGAATAGAATGTATAACTAGGTGAGATTTTATTGAGTTATCATATGCTTTGCGAGAGAAGAATATAACTCGAGAAGCGTTAAATGTGAATTACTTGAGGAAATATCTCGTCCAAATTATTCGCTAACATAAAATTCACGTCGAATAGAAAGTCTAGTAAAAATAGGCGAGTACATAAATTCTAGAATTTATAGCACAGAGATAACATTTACTCGATCTTTCATATCAAAAACTTCAAATATTACGGTACCTTTTTTAATTATGTAAGTTTTTTTCGGTTTAAAACCAATTTCTCCTAAATATAGACAAAAGTAAATTTTCATTCTTTCACATATCCATCTATCTATATTTGTCTATTAACGTACAATGTATGAAATTTGAGACATCCTGCGTGATTCATTTTAGACACTAAAAATTAACAACTTTTAATTAATATCTAATATATAAAAGTATAATGAAGTCGGTAATAACAGGATTTCCATTCGCTGCAGTTTTGATTGCGTGAATGAAGCAGTAGCAATAGATTGGATAACATTAACGTAACATATTCCGTTGATAATAAAATATCGCGTTGAATTCGCGAAAGCGTAGATACGCAAACTTTTACTGCCTGCCTTGCGTTTTACTGCCAGTCCAACTTCGATTTTTAACACGCGATTTGGAGAATCGTGCGCATCTCTCTGCATCAAAATGAAACTTTATACTAACGTGAATCGATACGCGGCAGTAATACAAGGTTTATGACCGGATGCTTTGTCACTGTCGCATTTATCGATGACATCTCGTGCATCGATCTGTCATCGTTGGTAGTGAAAACCGGCGGCCGGAATGGCGAAATGATCTCGCCTACCGCATTGATCCTGCCATCATACAGATCCGCCCATTCGTTCATTTATGATGAAGTTTCATAGCCGACTTGATCGATCGACTTGCATTCGGCACGTAAATCGAAGATTTTTTCTAATTAAGCGAGCAATGATCACGCGAATATTTTAGCATATTCTTTGTGCTTGTCATAAAAAGTAATTGTACATATTTTAATATATGTATATAAGAAACTATATATATAAGAATAACAAAAATTCTTGGAACAAAATATGTTCCTGATTAGGATATAAGAAAAATCTAAATATATTAAAAAGACAAAGATATAAAATCATTTAATGTTTTTAAAATTTTATATATAATTATTATTTAGGAGACTACCAAAAGAGATGCGAGATTGTGAATTAAAACAATTGTTTTTAGTAGTATTTTCTAGTAGTACATTAGAATATTTCTAAAAGAAACTGTTGACCATGATTAAATACTCGGTACAAAACACTGTAACTTCTAGATTATCATTTTGCGCGGCATATTTATCGGGTGGCTACCTGAAGATGTTGCATCTTCAGACGCGAAAACACGCAAGGCAGAAGATAACTCCCGTATAGGGAGGAGAGGGTGAGACGGGTGGGAGATAGGAGGGGCGAGTCGGTAAACTCGACGTGCAGTTTCTTCGGCATTACAAGAGCATCCACCTTCGCTTTAATCAAGTCGGAGAGCGGCGGGCGCGCGCGAGCTACCGTAAACGGGTTATATACCTGGAGGAACTCACCTTCACGACGTGGTGTTTCTGATTAATGCTCGGCATCCTCAGGACACGGCACCAGAGCAGCGTGTCTTGCCCCATGGGTAAACGAACCTGCACAGCAATTCGAATGGTACTTCGTTAAGCGAGTATAATTCCACGAGAAACTAACGGATAGAGCCGCTACATTGGGACCATTGATACTTCGTATCAGCATCGATGTCACGGAGAAGTATCAATGTATCACTTTATCAGGAGGAAAATTTGATTCTGATATATACACAATTGTATATATACTAGAAACACATTTTAAAACAATTAAACTGTAAAGTATTATACAAGCAAAGTTGGAGAAATGCGCACATATTATATGCACTTATATTTTTATCTTCAAATAATCATTTCCATTAAAAAAATTAGAAATTTCACTATAAATTCTCAAAACTAAATTAATAACAAAATCACTGTAAAACTTTAAATTAGAATCAATCTTATTATTGTTTAAATTAGAAGTTAAACACAAAACAAAATTAAAATATTATTATTAAAACAAAATGTGTTATTTAAATTGTTGTATAAAATATAAATGATATTTTATATATTTATTTAGTTATTATCAGATATAATCACAGCGTGAAACATCAAACAGATTATTGGAAAAATATTTTTATACCATAAATATTTATTCTATCGCATCATAATTTCATTGTTTCGAAAATAACATTTCATCTCTCTTTTGAAAGTAATCGTCACTTAATAAATACAAATTGGGATGAATAGTACGAAATAAAGGGGAAAATTCGAGGGACTTAGCCACTTGATGCATACGTCAGGTTAATGGTTTGTTACAACGGAGTAAGAGCAGTTAAACGCAAATATATACGAGAAATTCATTACCATATTTTCCGACGCCGCGTGCGACTTACGTAACAAGGTTGCAAGTTGCTTTTGTGATATACGAGCCCATTTCGTCCTGTCTCAAAGCGGCGCCTTCCACGCCACGCGACTATTTTGCACAGTTCTCATGCACGGCCGGTTGCATTGTGCACGAACGTGTTGCGAGTTTTTCGGCACGTATAACAGAATAAGAACTGCATGTACCGGCGTTAGTTGCGTTACTTGTTTTACGTGTTTCGCTCGATATATACAGGCCGTATTGTTACGTGCGAACACATATTGTTCAAAATGGTACTTCGCAATATTGTAGACACCGCTTAGCTATATCCGGCTACATTGTACACCGATGTACCTCTATTATTTCGACATGTAGAGTAGAAGATTTATAAATGGTGAGATGAAAAATATTTAGTTTATAACATTTCTCCAGCGCAAGTCGAATATATCTACATAGGTTTCATGGGATACGATATAGCAACTTGCTTGCGCCATTTTTCAAATTCTGCGATGTTCTACCGTTTGTTAGAGAGATTGCTATTGTTTCATTAATTTTTATATTCTCACCACACATTTGAGAATATTATTTCTGTCATAAATTTTTGTTGAAATGTTGAATTTATTTTAGTTTAGAATTAAAATATATGCCCGTTTTACACTGAAAAAACTTACTAAATCTCAATACATATTTCTTTGAATAGTATTAAGCAGACATTAAAATTTAGTATTTTATTCAGTGTATCTGTTTTACTTGTTTGTCAATGAACGCCATTATACCCTTATATTACAACTAATTATACAAGTTATACAGTTTCGCAACTAATTTGGTTAATTATACGCTTCTCGCTCCGCGACAGGATAAGAATTATATGTACCAGTGTTAGTTGTGCTACTTGTCTTGTATGTATCTCCTATCTACAAGTCAGATTCCACCGAATTACTCACGGAGTACGAGATTTTGTGCATCAATGGAACCATGCTCGGTGTTACCATGTATCTCGGTAAATACGGAGACCCAAGGGGAGTAGGAAGGGCTGGATGCTGGTGGATCGTTTCGAACTGTTCGCCGCGGGGCGTATGGACGACCGTACACCGTTCGAGAAAATTACAATTCTCTTTTTCGCGCATCTCTCCCCCTTCCGACGACCGACGATCGACTCCTGGCCCTAAGCGCTCCAACCACGCTGGCGGATTCTCCCACGCGCTTATACGAAATTATCGATGTCGAGATTACCGGGAAGGACGAGCGCGTTTATTGTTTTGCGGTCGAGCACGTTGACTCACGCCCCGGGGCGACGGAGAAATTTTTAGGGACCACGCGAATGCATTTCCGATTTCTATGCCAACAGGCATCGAATTGTCTCCGTCATTTCGAAAGGATCTTTCTTCGTTGACATTCACAAAGTGACGTAAAGTGTTGAAAAATAGAATACAGAAAAACTTTCATGAGTCAATCTAATTAAATAAGAAAAATCCTGTATTCGGTTAAATATTTCTTCTGTGAGAATTTATATTAGGGATGCACCTGATCGTAAAATTACCGGATATCGAATATCCGAACAAAATGTAACATCGAATATCCGGTATCCGGTCCGATATCCGAGAAGGTAATTTCTTCGAGTCGGATATCCGAAATTTTCCGGATATCCGACCAGATTCCGGAAAAATGTCTTAAAAAAAAACCAATAGAAAAAAAATTATAATTTTGCAACAATGTATAAGATATTATAGCATTATGAATACGCATACTTTATTTTTAGAATATTTATATAATAACAAATCAACAATTTAATGATATCAAATTTCAACCGGATATTAACGATATCCGGATAGTAAAAGTGCCGAATAATACCGGATACTTTCCGGATATCCGGTGCATCCCTAATTTATATATATATATATATATATCTGATTCTACAAACCGTGCGTCGAAATCTTTTTGAAACACAACCATGAGTAGTAAGAATTGACAAGCGATTTAATAATTTTTTTATGCATATCTTTATAAGAATATTAATAATTTAATGTTAAGAATCTTAAATCTGCGAATAATTTATTGCGATGAGTCAATAATAAAATAACTGTGGTAATCATGTGCATGTTTGATTTTTAATTCTAAATTTGTTAAAATAAATTCAACATGTTTCATCAAAAAGTTATAACAGAAACACGATGGTATTCGCAAATGTACGGCGAGAATATAAAAATTAACGAACCAGTAACAATCCTTCTAATAAACAGTAGAATATCGTGGAATTTTAAGAATGGCGCAATGTAAATTCATTTCTCATCAGCCTCGTCTTCTTTGCCTATTCTTCTATTCATATTCATCGTGGCGCGATACAAAAGTTACTCGACCGTTCGGTAACTTTTGCGTACTAAGTTAAGAGCGAACTTCCTCGCGATATTCGAAAAAGAAATGCAGGTCAAAATATAGAAATATAATGCCAGTGATATTCTAAAAACATTAATGCCAAAACATATCAATAATTTAAAGAAGTTCAAAAATATCTTAGATATATCAATGTTTGGACACTAAAATTGGAAAGGAGATAAATAACCATGATTAAATAATTTTGAAGAAAATTTTCGAGTGAATGAGCAAGATAAACATTTTAAATGCTTAACGTTTCATTATGATTTCATCTATTATTTTCTATAACCTAGTAAATATTCGCAATTCATTCAAGCGTTATATTTAAATATATCTAAAATGCGAAATAATTTCGCTGCAATTAATAAGTTTTTTTAATTACTTTAGTTCTCTTTACATTGTTTGCAGCTAAAGTAAAAGAAACATATGCTGTTCCTTGAAACAAGGAAAGAAGACGAAAAGTAACGTGCAACTGTAACTAAAAAGTACAGATCTGTTATCTCGATTATTCCACTACAGCGATTGTAACGAAGTCTCGGTAACGCGAAAGGGCACAAAAATCTCGCGAAAAATGGCAAAATTCGACAAACTGGAAATGTATTTACGAGCGAATACATTTCGCGCTAGGCGCTTGCTTGTCTCAAACGATATTACATGGTCAACATTTCCGGGTCGTTTATCAGCACGTCCAGCGAATGATCTTGCACTTTTTCGCGGGCCAACGAGCGTAATACGTAAGGGTGGCCCGATTCCGGTCTCGATATAAACTATAAACAGCGCCGGGGCAGACGGTGGAATTAGCATTGTCCGATTCTCGGCGATAGCGCCGACCTCGTAATCTACGACCCGGCGACGCTAATGAACGAATAGTTTTTGCCGGATGTGACCCGGTTAAGATTTATGTCGTCATAAATTCGGCACTGCACAATACCTTCTCTCTTTCTCCATCTCTTCAGCTCTCTCTTTCTCTCTCTAACTCAGCTGCGTGATAAAAATCCAGTCGCGCGCGCACCCAGCTAAATGCGTTCGAACATTCATTTCACGCACGCGATATACATACGCACGCACGACCTGTACACGTGTCGACGAATGACGGAAACAAAACCGTATGACGAGAGAGCTTTGAAAAAGCTTGTTCGCGTCTCGGATCCGAATAAACGAATGATTTGCCGCGCGTCTCTACAAACATTAAAACGCTGATCGTGCAAAACCAATTTCTCTCCTCGTTTTGTACGTGAATATTTTTAACTTTCTCTGTTTAGGTTTGCGAAATAATCGATATTTCTTTACAATCTTCAAAGCTTAAAAATGTATCAGATGTACAGTCAAAAAGCGACTGGAACTGGAAATTTATACTTTTCTAATACTATTAAAATGTATAAATATGAAATAGTTTAATAAGAGAGATCAATATTTATATTTAACAATACATGTTTATAATTTAAATGAAAACTTTCTTATTTTAGTTTAATTATTTTTGTAAAACATCAACTTTTTATTAAAATAATTGTTTATTCGAGTTCTAAATTTCCACCACAAACTCTTTGTATTACTTTGAAATATAGTATAAAAAAATCTGTAATTTTTTGTATAATTTTTTTCATTTTGTTAAAAAATACTTGTAATACAGCCTTAAAGGAATCAAGTGTTGAATGTTACCAATTATTAGTTTTTAACATTTCAAGAATCCGGAGAGAGAGAGAGAGAGAGTTCATGGAATCTTTTTACTTTCATTACAAGTTTTCAGAAAACTTCAGTACGAAGCTAGATATTCTTGGTTTAAAATTAATGTTGAGTTAATAACAAGTTACAATACTGACGATGATTCTTCAGTGAAGGCTGAATAAAGTAACTTTAGTTATCTTAAATACTTAAATGAAACCGGCTTGAATCTGCCCTCCGTACAAATCGAGTCCAATATCACAATGCCGATGGCAGATCCACTTTCGTGAACTCTAATTAAAACTCTTTAATCGTCTTTGTTCGCACTCGCGAATTTCTCCGCGGTCGGGATGAATATTAACTTTGTTCTTGTTTCTTGTCACGTGCCGTCGTAATAACGCAAATCATAATAAATGCAATATGCACCAACTGCTCTCTTTCTCTCTCATCTCTTTCTTTCTCTCTTTTAATTACATCTGGTGAAAACGAAATATTTCCTTCTTCCGTTAGTTAATTTCATTCATTAAGCATTTATCTTGACAGAATCTCTGGATCGTACTCATCGTGTATCGTAGAATGATTTTTATCTCATAGGACATCTTGTGAATATAAGGATTTAAATGTTAAACGAAAATAGAGCTTCGCAACTCATGAACTCACCTGCTTGTTCAGAATGTCCCAGATCTTCAGAGGCGGATCCGTTTCCTGATTACGCGAACTTCGTCTGGGCTGTGCATCTCTTTGCACCAGGTATAACGGTCTCGATCCTCGCACTGCCCCGTGATCAGGTAAGATACCGGCTGCTGATACCGGCTCCTCCACGTGATATTGCCACACCACTTGCATCGTGTCGTTCTGAAACATAAAAGAAGATCCAAAATCAAAACGAGTGTCTCGTTCTCCGCTTTTTGCCGCCGAAAAATATCGATAAAGAAACGGGGCTACAAAGGCCTGCGGCTTTGTACCCAGGTCGCTGTAAAAAGCTGCTGCTTCCCGGAAAGAGTTACCTCATATACGACGCGAATAAACGTCCTCTGCTGAAGATTGCGCGCTTGGCTGCGTCTTTTAATCAAACCTTTTGTAAAATTTACGATCAAAAATTGCACCACTGGCAAACTATTGTAAGTCATTTTTATAAACTTTAAAAAAATAAAAGAGGAAAATACATTAATTTTTATTACTAATGCAATTCCGATAACGCTTTTGTTTAATATAATACATCAAGAGAAAAATTGCGAAGCAAATGTTACTTACGACTTTTCTTCGATATTTATTCGTTACAAAAAAATTTGATTGTGATGACGAAATATATATATTCTGTGAAATATATTTCATTAATTGTAAAAAATAAAAATAAATTACTTATTTGCTAGGAATAAAATTTTATTTCGCCATGTTTAAACAAAAATCTATTTCAGTGAAGTAAATATATATATATTTCTCACAAATAAATTTTTAAGCATCTTTTTCTCAGCATATTTTCATACACATGATTGAATATAAATATAAATACCATATATATATTTCGTGTGTGTGAATCAACGTAAAGTAACGGTGCAAAGCATTTTTCTCATCTCGTATGACTTTTAATAATTCCGCTATTAAAACTCCGGATTGGATTATGTTTACGACCACCCGGGGTGGCTTAAGCCTTTCGGCACCCCTAAGTTCGCGAGGGGGTCGATTGCTCTTGGCGCGCGCCAATCATCTGCGGTCGCGCTGCGGGCATACGCGATTCACCCCCCGAGAAGAAAGGCGGCCATCGAGGGTGATCGGGTCATATACCAAATGCAAGCGGCAATGTCCCGTCCGCCTGTCGCGGTTGCCCGCGAAACGTACACGTGTCCAACCGTGCCAAACTTGGGGTCGCTTTTACACAAGCAAGCCACTTACACGTTGCGGGACAATCGCGCCTGATTGGGGACTGACCATACGCGGGCTCGTTAACCGATCCGTTCAAAAAAAAAAAGTCACTCATTGACGCGAGTGGTAGGAATAAAAATGAGAAGCATGCAGTTATTGTCAGCCGAATTTGCAAGTTTGTAATCAAGGCAATTTCTGTATCGACGCTGATGTTTTCAAGTGATGGCAGACTCTATCTTCTTTAATCTTTAATCGATTCATTCTGCTCATTTATTATAATGGGATAAAACATAAATTGGAGCAGCAACCTTTTTTAAAGGTCATTTTCAGAAAGAAGTAATATCTTAGCGACTTGCATAATGCTTATTTTGTTTGCATAAAATAAAAAATATGATTTTATATTTGCAGCTATGACTTGGCGCTGGCGAGCCGCAAAAAATTCACAGAAGAGCCATAAATTGCGCATGACCAAACTATAAATATATGAAGACACACACCGAGATGGATGGATTAAACGAGAAATTGAGATATCTTTCATCGAGAAGATATGAAAAATTAACATTTTTTTAAATTTTAGTTTTTAGACTAGTATGTCATAATATTCATAACATATATGGTACATACATAGATAAGATAAATGTACCAGTTAGCGAAATGATAAGAAGCTTAAATACTAAGCTTTTGGCACGTGCGACTCTAAATAAGTTCGTCTTATTTTAATTTTTATAAATAACGATTTTATTTACAAAATCATATATATCACTGAAAGCTTAATGTTTAAATTTTTTATCATTTTATCTAATAATTATGTTCACTAACTGGTACATTTACTTTATAGATTTATATATTGACATATTTTCTTTCACATCATCTTTATGTAACCTTCATATATAATAATTCATATTGTTCGTACTCAATAAATTCAATTCAATTCAATTCAATAGAGAGAGAGAGAGAGAGAGAGAACTGAATATATTTTAATAATATTTTTTATATTATTATAAATGTAATTTTTATTTATAATTAAAAGAAATAAGAAAAAAATCAATAATTATTTTTATTAATAAAATAATAGAGATTGTAAAAACGCACATGCTTAAACATATTAAAACATTTGTAACAATAATTTGCCTAAATCACTTTGAAACATTAACTCAGAAATATTAAAGCGGGTACCACGGGAATTCACATCCATCATGTTCTCGATCGTTATCGACCCCTGTCTGCCGCCATTAACGTATCGGAGACCCAGATTAAGAGCGTACTTCGCCACTCTAGACACGTCTCGGCGTGAAGCAAAAAAATCGTCGGCGGAATCACAGAAGTCTCGCAATCGGCGACGTACAGATTTGCAAACTGCTCACGTGTTACCCATTCACGTTCCTCGATAATCGCCGAGCCTCACGTCGGGTCTACCCTCTCCTCTTTAAAGAGGCGAAATCCCACGTCCGTTAACTTCGCCGACGTATAATCATTGGCGCACCTACGTTTGTTTCCGAATTGCTTGAGACAATCGGGCGCCATTCTCGCCTGACTCCACGAGGAAGCGAGGAGATAGAATACGACGTGGCGACCCAGATCCGGCAGATCGAAAGATTCCCGAGGCCAAGATGGAAGGTCGATCGAAGGAAATGGGCATCGCTCTGAAAGGAATGAGGTGGGAATCACGAGATTCGCCAACGATCGATTTCGGAGACGCCCTTCGACTACTTACGTACTCTCGTTGTCCTTTCTTCGATCAATCACATTACAGTTTCTTTTCAGAAGGACATTACGTTCCAGTGTATCTCAAAAGTACTGAATTTTAATACCGCAACGACAAGCTTCGGAGCTATCAGTAAATAACGTTACGTTATTCTCTAACGAATTTTAAACAAACTTTGCCCTTTGAAAGAATTTCAATTTATCCGGCTTGTTTATCCGGGTGCATAATATCGACAATTAAACGGTTGCGAAAAAAAGCGATCATTAAATTTTCATGATAACGCAAAAATTCATTCTGATCACAAAATCCATAATTTAAGGAAAGCGCAGCTGAATATTATAAGTTTTTTGCTTAATATTTTAAATACAGGCTAAATTAAATCTCTCTCACAACATTAACGACTCTTATTACTTTTTTCCCCCTGACTTCAAAAGAGATCCCTATCTAGAGACGATAATAAATGCATCTTCTCTTCTGCTTTTTCTTTCTGTTTCTGTGTTTTCTTCGTACATAAAGTTTGTAATTAATTCGAAGAGTTCTAATATCTCATATTTCATCGTGACAGTTCCGACATAATTTCACATTTTATCCTCCATAATGTTGAATATCACGATTCATTCATGGTTACATAACTACTTTTTATTTTATCTTTTTAAGTCATTCTTCGAATCTCTTCATTTGCCTTAACTAACTTATCTCTCTAATTTAATTTTTAACTTTATCTTGTAATCGTTCTACTTTATCTTGTGATCATTTGAAATATTTTAATTGTTACGCATTATATTATTACACAATGCACTTTCATTAAATGACTCACAAAGGATTTTACGTTACAGCATAATAGATATCCTCTCTTTTATCTTCTATTTCGTTACATTCTTATGTAGGAGTTTCCCGGAAAATAGTACCTTGTGAGTCTCGTTGATCGTCGGGTTCAAAGAACGCGGTGCTATTGTGAGATTCGAGTGCGCTGTTCGCGATGCGAGTAAGCCACGTGCTCGATCTCAGAAATCCTGATTTAAAAGATCCACCTAACCCGCTGCATCCTTAAGTAGATTGGCAAGAGGAAGAACGATGTAGAAAGAAGGATGTAGAAGAAGTTCTTTCGGAAGCAGAAACGCTGTCGATGTTTGTAAGGATCATTAAACGAGGATATGTTCCATGGAAAACATAACTATGCGTTAATTATCATGAGGATGCTTATTAGAGCTGCTCGTAAACGCCAGAAGTTGCGGCATAATAAAAAGGTGTGTGGTAGTGTACAGAAAATTATTATATTTAAAAATCGCTTCCAAATGAGAGGAAATATTACAAAAATTTTAAAAGATTTCAAATAACATTTTAACAAAATTCTTTAATTATATCAAGTAACATCCTCATTAATTTATAATAAAAGGAAATAATATTATAAAAATTTAAAGATTGCTGATAATATAACAAAATTCTTCAATAATTATCACACACACACACAAGCAGCATCCTTATTAATTCATATAGGGGAACATGGTGTTCTTTTGACCGGTTGTACCTTTAACCATTTGAATTTATAAAAAATCTATATTTTTAAAAGTAAAAATATGTAGTTTATAATACAAGTACCAGAGATGTTTTATAACTTATAATTATAACAATGAATGAAATTATATTCGTGTGAAAAATCATTTATTGTTTTCAAGCATTCGAATTAAGTAATTTCAAGACGCTTTTTAATCTCATAAAATGTAATATATGTATTCTCTCTTATGTTGGAATTGCTTAAAATGTTAAATAGATATTCAGAAAAAAGTATTTAAAACTTAATACGGTCAATCTTAACCTATAATTTATAAAAGTATAATAACAAAGTGTAATAACAAATAGAAAGTAAACAAGCGTTGTATCTTTAACCAGTAACTGATATTGTACCTTTGACCAGTCAATACGACGTCGGATAATCATTTAGTTTAGCTATCTCACCTCCAATATTAATAAAATTATGCTCATTAGATGCAATTTTGAATGAAATGAACGAAGGACACTATTTTTGCCAGATTCAATCGTTTCATGACAAAAACGAAAATCGCCTCTTTGTATGGCAAAGTTTATTTTTATATATTTTATATATAAAGTTGTATATGTGGTGTAAAAAGACATTAAAAATATAAAAATATAAATAAAATTAAACTTTTGTTAAATATCTTAACTTTTTACATACATTTTATATAATACATTGGTTAAAGGTACAACACTCCCTGGTCAAAGGTACATGGGTGTTGTACCTTTGACCAAAATTCAATTTTTTTCTACT